TGGTGGCCTCGGTTGAGAGGTTGGAGTCCGATAGGTTGATCGGAGGCTCCAGGGCCACAGCCCGTCGGGATGAGGCGCTCATCAGGACGCCGTGGAGCACGCGTCGCCACGACGACTCGAGGAGGCGCTCCGAAGAATCCCGCAGGAAGACGAATGCCGGGTTATTGGGGTAATTTGCACCGAAGCAGCCGGTCATGAGAGGACGGAGCTCGGTGTTCATCACCTGGATTTCTTTGGAGATTTCTTTTCGTGTGATCTGCATGACCCTGTAACTTGACGACCAGCTGGAGGGCTCAAATCCCAGCAGGCGATGAACGGAAGGATGATTAATGTTCTTTCGTACGCAGACAAACGCAGGTTTCGATATTTGCACCATTGTGAAACCCGTGCACAATGTATTGGAAACAATTTGTGGATAACGAATGATTGCTGCCGTTGGCAGACGCAAGGAAGGTAGTTAGTTGTCTTGGACCAATTTTTTCCAACAATCCTCGCAACGCGTTGATTTCCGTATCTGACGGACCCGGACCTACCACTGACGGGAGTGTAATGATTACACGCAGTTTACAGAACCAATCAACTATCGCTGACTGCTGGAGGCATGCGTCACCATGGACGTCCTGTGCACAACACCCAAACAGTGGAAATTTAGCTTCTGATGAGACATTGCCACTCAACACCCACATGTCCAAAAGGAAGGGCTGCCTCGCATTTTGTCCAAATGTTGACAATCGCAAGATTGTGTTTGCTGCTCAAATTTGTGCAAAGGTCAGTGGGGTGGATTCTTATACTATTTCTCAAAGGTTCTACAATGAAATGAGAGCATTCTTCTGTGACACACGAGAAAAGAGAGAAAGGAGCTTGCAAGTGTCGTACAAGTTGAACCAAAAACGTGCTTTCATCTCAAATCTTGAACTGGCCCAGCTATACCAACCTGCGTGCATACTTCGCCTGAGAATGATGTAAACATGCACAAGCAAGCTGGCATGCACAAATATAGATGCTACAACTCCAGCCCACGCTTGCTGGCTTCTGCTGAGCTTTGGCTGGCTGTACAACAAAGCGTTATCAAAGGCAAAGGCACATAGTTTGGAAAAGATATATCGCTAGCATGGCATGTGAGCAATGTACCTTCGGCAGTGACGTGGCAATAAGTTGAGGCTACGCTTTATATATTAGTCACAAGGAAAGCTTGGAAGTAATTGTGAACAATAAACCTTACAGCTTTATTCTTAAGTGGCTTCATGTGATTCATTGAAAGAACTTCAGGTGGGTACAAAACAAGGAATGCATACTCCAACTGAGATTGGACAAGGGCGAAAAGTTAAGGCTCTTTGTTCGCCTCACACAGCTAATGTTTCAGGAAACCAAGAATTTCAGGATCTTTGCTGGGTATCTGCTTGATACGAGAGTCCACGGCGGGTTACTAGCAAGATGAGGGCTGAGACCTCTAATTAATGTAACATGTTTCACCTGGTCCTGTCCAGTCTTATAATATGTGTTCAACAGTATCTAATTTCTATGTCAAAGTTAGAGCCTACAACTGGTGTCAATTATTTGATGCTATGTCATCAGAGCTAGCATAACTTCCTCAGTGCTCTAACACTGTCAAAACGAAGCTCTGCCAGCCTTGACAATGTAACACAAAAAAGTTGATGCCGAGTACAGACATATGCAAGTATGCACACAACACGGGTAACAGCATTACACATATAGAAACCGGCCTACACGTGCAAAGCTGCCTCGTATCCCCCATCGGCAGGTTTAAATTTCAAACAAAGTGTCCATATCACGATGGAGAATAATTGCAGCAGAGTGGATGTGCAGCGTGAAATCGCAGTTGCGTATAATATCAAAATTTCCTGTTTGGACACGCTCTAATAACATTCTTTAAATTTCATTAAAATATAAATAAAAAAAAGGAAGGCTTCAAAGTACATGTAGAACCTGACAATCACCTGATCTTCATACCAGATGTAAACATAAAACCTGCGACCGACGCAAAAAAAAAAAAAAAAAAAGGAACGGAAAAGTATGCTCACAGTAAAAGAAGCACATCGAACAGCTGTCTAAAGCCGTAACATCCACTGATAATAGTCCGAGGACAAAGCAAATTTGTTATTGTAGAGATGCTAGCAGAATGGGAGGTCAGTGTCCCCCCGAGGTACAGGGCCTTGTTTGAGCCCTGTCCACCTAGCAGCTTTACATCACACTCTACCCTTCAGACCTCCAAAAATGTGTGGGATGACAGCCATCAAAATCAAAACCGGAAAGGGGTAGCAGCGGGTTTCCCCCAACATTTAGGTGTGTGGAGTGCAAGAACTGCCAGCATAGTCGAAACAGAAATGGTGGAAGCAGTTTTGAATTACGAAATCTATAAAATGCTTGTACCTTGTTTTGTCTTTCGTCTTCTTGAGCTCTAGAAAACAAGCATCAGTTAGGCTACATGTAGATGCAAGATTCAAAAAGACGACAAAGGCTGGATTCACAAAGAATGTCTCTCCTTGACACATTTTTGCTAAGAAGTTTGTAGCTCAGGAAGTTCTTAAGATGTAGCTCTTATGACGTAATCTTACGAACTCAACAAGTTCTTAGGGTGCTGTATGATCGAACTGGCTTCTAGGAATGAACAAACCACCGACAGACCAAGGGAGGGAAAGAAAGAAACTTTTGGTGTCCTGCAATTAACGAGAGTTGAGACAGCGGTGCTTTGCTATGATGACGGCGTGGATGGTTTGCTCGCACACAACACATGTGCTTTTCCTGTCGACGACAGAACGGCACTGCGGTGCGTCAGCAGCATTTTTGATAGAATAGTCACGAAACGTTTGTAACGGGAATAGACCCTTTCCAAAAGTTTGCGCCTTCGCCTGTCCGCCATCACTTGATCACATACTCGGAGCATATATGGGACACGAGGGCTGCATCGGCATTTGGCATGAACTTGGCTTAGCTCGTATTGAAAACAAGTGATGCGTCCGCGTTCGGCGAGGACTCTGCTCCAATCACACGCTTTTTGTCCAATCAATGGCGACCGCCAATGTTGCTCTATAAACTTTTGAAGACAGTCTATTGGACCACTATCGTAGGATTGCATTTAGCTCATGCAAGACTTTGACATTTTACTTTGAGAATAACGAAAAGCTTGTAACTTTAGCTTGAGTCATATTTAGGAACTTCTTTGTCATAAAAATAGACCTCAACGATTACGGCCTCAGTTTTTGCATGTGTTACATCACAACTCTTTGATGTGGGCAGTCGACCTAGAGCCGCCAAGATGTCCGCAGCCTCTGTAGTGGGTTTGCCTAGTCGCCGCAGCCTCTAGTCGAGAAGTGCTGTCGACGACAACTCTGTAGGTGCCAATCTGCACACCTTGGATCGGATTCTGTCGGTTTTCCTCTTCAACCACCCACCACGAAACACAACGTACCCATACCAGTGACGTATCAGCAACCACCTCAAGCCTCGCAAAACAACGGGAAAGATGCAGAACAAAGAGCTCCATAAAGGCGGTGGCAGACTATTCACAATGAATAGATAATTTGCGAAATTCCAAACCTTAGAGGAGCATGCTGTAAACATTGTTACATGCGCTGCACACACTTGCCTTGTCAATAAGAAAGATTCCAAGTACAAAAAAAAAAATTGATGACGAGTGCACGTGCCAAGGAGCCATCTGTTTTAAATCTTTGCTCAAAAAACTTGTCACTGCAGATGCCGAAGAGTGCAGCACGTAAAACTACAAGACCAGTTTGGGAATTTCTGCCAATGGCCAATTGGCTAAGACGGTTTCCACTTGGCATCCTCCGCATGATAAATACTGCTTGAAACGCACGACGCTCAGGACCAAAACAGTATGTTAGCATGCAGCAATGACCAGATTTAAAAACAATTCACACATATGAGCTCGAGTCTGGTTGACTACATTACGGCTTGGGACGGGTTGTGATCGCTTATGACGAAAGAGCACACAGGCACACTGTACATTAGTAGACCGAAGGCTTTGCAGTATCTGCAGCATCAAATCTATGTGCTGCCAACAAGGAATGGTCGTTTATAACTTTGGAAGAATTATCTCAAGCCCACAGTGAAAAAACTATGCGTAAAAGGCTAAGGAAATATACGCATATCGAATCTATTCCAGGATAACCGGATAGATGGCGCCTAATGGGTTAGAGCTGTATATTGAGAGAGTTTGGTCAATAAGAGGAGCCGGCGTGAACAGAGGTGGAGCGGCGAAAGCGTTGCCTTCGCCAGCGCCGCATATTCCCCCCCGTGATAATCCTGCAAAGTAAAACGAAGCCAAGATGACCTCGAAGGAGCCGCACATTGTGGCGCAGGTATTTTTGTTTCTGGATGAGGCTGAAAGTACATAAATGGATAATTGTAAGAGATTGGTGCAAATAGGGAGCATGAAGGTGCTGAGTGAATTTACTGAGCCAGAAAAGTGTTCTGAAACATGAAGTGAAACTACGAACATAGGGTGCGCGTTCGGGGTTAGGGTCAAAATTCCCACGGAACCTAGGCCATGGTTTTAAGCGTCCACTCGGTCGCAGTCGCGGCTGCGACTGCGATCAAAAGAGAGATAGCGTGCATTCTGAATGTCACTATGACGTCAACGTCACATGTGGTCCCTTTCAGTTACGAAGAGTGGCAAAGCATTCTGAAATGAAATACTTGAATACATCCTTACCTAGAAATTGTGATTGGACGGTATTTGTTAAGCTCATTGCCACTGCTAGGGGAATATTTGTGGCTAGTAATTGGTCACAAGAGCTGTCTATCATCATTCCCAAGGTCATTAAAACAATTTCGGCCATTCTTACCAATTAATGACCAAACTCTCTACATGTACAGCTCAGTAATGGGTGAACCAGCCGTGTTTCGAGAATCGGAGAAAGAGGAGGGAAACGGATGGACAGAGGGCAGTGGCTACACCTTTCGTATTGGGCAGTAGCCTGCGCCACCTAGCCAATATCAAAAACAACAAAAATCCTTACCGTTGCTCGACTTGAGGTCTCTGTGGATGAGCGAGATGGGAGCCTCGTTGTGCAGGTAGTGCATCCCGCGGGCGATTTGCACCGCCCAGTCCACCAGCACTTCCGGCGGCACCTTGCGGCCACTCAGCACCCTGTTCAGCGGTCCTCCTCTCGCGTATTCCATGACGAGGCACAAATTGGGCGGCTCGAGGCATACTCCTTTCAGCGTCACGATGTTCGGGTGGTTCAGCACCCAGAACAGCTTGGCTTCCTGCCGCACGCTCTCGGTGGTCACGCCGATGTCTTCATCGGGGTCCTGCCGCGCCGCCTTGACCGCGACTTCCTGCCCCCGCCACGAACCCCGGTAGACCTTGCCGAACCCGCCGACTCCGATAACCTCCTCCAACTCGAGCTCAGAGAAGTCGATCTCGAACGGACGCGCAGACAGGTCGGCGTTGACCGGGCGAACGCCGTCGTGCCGCGTGATGAAGTTGGACGGGAAGATTCCCACCTTGTCGCCGATCTTGCCCGTCCACCAGCCGTCGTCGCCCGAGATCCGAGCGTCTTTGGACAGCACTTGGACGGTCTCGCCGCGCTGGAGGGAGAGTTCGTCGTCCCCCGACGCGTCGTAGTCGTAGATCGCCGTCCAGAACTCGATGCTGCTGTCGTCCCTGCCATTTTCCGATCGGGTTCGGGGCTGTGCCGAAGCCATGGACAGCTGGACTGCGCTCGGCATTCGGCGGGGTTGTCGAAACGCTCCGGGGTCGGCACCGCCGTGTTTTCTGGGGGAAGGTAGCGGCGGTTTTTTGTTTTTTTTTTCTTCTTCTTCTTTTGCTAAGTAGGTTTAACGCCCTGCGCCGAGCCCACTCCTTTTAATTTTCGGAGTGGTTATGCGGCGGTTCGGTAGCTTTCCCCTCCCCCGTGAAATAGCGAAAGCCCCCCGACGGGGGGCCTGGCTAGGAGTGTGGATGGCGGGGGGTCAGTGGTTGATACCTACTATTTACATAGCATTAAAGTTAGGGCTACTATCATGAGAGAGGTTTTGGGAGACGGCGGGGTATCAGGCATCCGTCGCGGAGGATCGGCGGCCGCTCGGCGTGGTTGCCGCCGACATTTCGCATACTTTCTGGCGCTGGTAGACCGCTGGCTTCATAGACGATCTACGCTTGTCACACAAACGTCACAGTAGGCACAAGGATGCTCGCCATCACCACCTCCGCCATAACTGCTGCAGCTCTCCGACCTTCGGTAGAGGGGGGGAGCTGAAAAAAACTGGGTTGAGTTTCTGCTGCCGAGAGTAAACGTTCCTCTTTAAAACCAGAATTGGTTACTTTATGCAGTATGAGGAACCGTATGAGCTATCTATAAAGTTATTCGTATACACATTATTAGTTATTAGTGGTTCATGAAGGCGCGAATGTTAGTTGAAAATACGAACGAGTGTTTAGATCGCGGGTAGGTAGCGCGGTGGTCGCCGCGCACTATCATCATCATTGCCGCGCGTTGTTTTTGACGGCAGCTGACGGCAGGCGTGGTTGTGGCGTGGGGAGAGAAGTTTCTTAGCGCTATGTCTTGTGGCCCAGATTTGCGTTATCCGAAATTAAATCGCTCATTAAACGCGCTCGCAGACTTCTTGGAAATCCACAAGGAGTTCGTAAACGCTCATATGGTCGACTTCTTCACGAAACGACACTGGGAAAACCTAGTAGACGCAGCGATCGCGGATGAATTGCTGAGCATCTCTGACCAAGTGCTGTCATCTTTCGGGACGGAGGAATTCTTCGCTTCTACTTTCGTCAAGTAAGACCGCACTTTCAGAAAACTGCTTTGTAATTGGTAGATCGGTGCTCATTTGGCGTGAATTTGTTTTCAGAGAGCAGAAAGTCCCCGCTCTTGCTGAGCTCTTGGAAGCTGTGAAGAGCCATACGCTGCCGGCGTTAGGTGCTTGTACGGAAATGGATGCAGCGATTTCAAGATCCACATGCGACGCTGTCTTGAGCGAGGCTCAGTTGCGTTTGCAAGAGTGGTGCATGTCGCGAAAGAAAAACCACGAAGTGGCGATCATGGGCAACATGATAAAAGCCCTGGGAGACCAGCATGACACCAGATACGTAAGTCTTTCCGCAAATACGGAACTTGTATTTAAATAAATAAAAAAAAAAAGTATTTTTTTTTTTTAAGTGTGTGAAGTTGAGAAGGATCAACGCATTTACCGTTCTATGATTTTTCTTTCTGTTTTATTTATTTATTTATTATAATTATTATTTTTTTTTTGAAGGTGTTTTAACGCGTAGCATTGGTGTACTGCGGCAAAGCCAGAATCCGATTGTGTGGCTGTCGGTGGGCCCCACAACGTGACAGGCGTGTGCTGCGGCGAAGCTGCCTTGCTACATAAGCCTTGCAAAGGCGATGGCGTTGCGAAGCCAAGTCAGCTTCACTGCTTAACAGGCGTGTATTGCACTAAAGTGTAACTCTTGCAACGCAAATTTAAAAGAGTTTTTTTTTTTTTTTTTCGTTTTTGCTTGTTTCGCATGTGCACGGCATGTGCGACGGAAGCCGAAACTACAAGCACGAGCATGTTGCCCCTAAACGAAGTTTTCACTGTACGGACATCCTGCGTACTCGCTCCTGTAGTTTCCACTTCTCTGTGTTTCTTGTTAACGGGATGTGAACAATTCGGTTTCTATTTCCGGAATGTGAAATCGGGACTTATCGGTATTTACTTTGTATGGCCGTAATTTGAGCAGGAGAAATAAATCGAATCAATCGCAAAAAGAAAAAAAAAATGCAGCAACCTTCATTTTTATAATTGTATAATGCTTGTTTAGAATTGTTTAGAAGACTATATCCAGTTTTTGTATGGTATAGGTCATGGCATCAATGTATATATATATATATATATATATATATATATATATATATATATATATATATATATATATATATATATATATATATATATATATATATATATATATAGATAGATAGATAGATAGATAGATAGATAGATAGATAGATAGATAGATAGATAGATAGATAGATAGATAGATAGATAGATAGATAGATAGATAGATAGATAGATAGATAGATAGATAGATAGATAGATAGATAGATAGATAGATAGATAGATAGATAGATAGATAGATAGATAGATAGATAGATAGATAGATAGATAGATAGATAGATAGATAGATAGATAGATAGATAGATAGATAGATAGATAGATAGATAGATAGATAGATATCAGGTGTTTTTGCGAAGACATTCAAAAATCCTAAAAATTAGGGCGATAGAAAAAAGAAGAAACTCTCTTCGGGAACAAACTACCAGCCACGGCGGACGTCAGGAATTGCCAAAAACCTACTAATTAGCCAGATAATTAAAACTTGTTAATTAACTTTTTAATTAGTGGAAATAGACATATGATTCCAATTAGAAAGTTGCTGAGCGTTATCGAAAACCACTAAATCAGTCATTTTCAGAAAGACTTTAGGCGCGTGAGAAGAGTAGTAGCGCACTAAAATTACCACTCGTGGACCAGGTACAAGGCTGGGGCTAGATAAGAGACGGAAAAATCGCGCGGGCGCCTTACCGCAACCGCTAGCCTTGTACCTGTTCCACGAGTGGTAACTTTAGTGCGCTACTACTCGTCTCACGCGCTCAAAGTCTTTCTGAAAATGACCAATTTAGTGGTTTTCGATAACGCTGAGCAACTTTCTAAATGGAACCATATGTCTATTTCCCCTAATTAAAAAGTTAATTATCAAGTTTTAATTAATTATCTGGCTAATTAGTAGGTTTTTGGTAATTCCTGACGTCCGCTGTGGCTGTTAGTTTATTCCCGAAGAGTTTCTTCTTTTTTCAATCGCCCTAATTTTTAGGATTTTTGAAAGTCTTCGCAAAAACACCCGGTATATATATATATATATATATATATATATATATATATATATATATATATATATATATATATATATATATATATATATATATATATATTAATGCCGTCAATTTTCAAAAAAAAAACACGTGACGTCAATTTTTTATTAAATTTAGCGGGGAAACTACATTAGTGTTCACGTGACGTCAGGTTACGTGATATCAATTTTCCCGCCAAACTTAGCGGGGAAACTGAATCTCATGTGACCTCAATTTTTCCGCTAAATTTATCGAGGAAACTGAATTGGTCTGAAGGTCCCGTGCCGTCAGGTGACGTGACATTAAATTTTCCGCTGAATATGGCAGGTAAACTGAATTCGGGCATAGGTCACGTGAGCAAGAAATGGACGGACTGACGGACAAGCTTGTGGAATTAGGAAATAACGCAAAAAAAAAGGAGAAAAGATCATGCTTAAAAAAAAACATTTAGAAACGATGGTTTAAAAAAAAGAGCTCTCCTTTAGCTAAGAAAGGGTAAAAACACAGGCTAGCTGATGAAGAACTTCCATAGTAACCGGAAACACGGAACGAAAAAAAAAAAACGGTTGAGACTTTTTTTTTTTTATTATTGTCTCTCCAGAACTATGGAACTTCTTCAGTTGCTTGCTTCAACCATTATAATTAGTTAATCTCTGAAAGACACCCGTTACGATTACCAGGATTACATGAATATCCATGTTGTACTATACTTTATCCCAAGATTCTTTGTAGTAGTGTCTCATATAAAACTATATATATAAATAGACTAATAGCATATATGGCACAAAAATCACTCATTTGATTGTATTGTTTAAAGCGAACTTATAAGGAGTTTTAGAACATGAGAAGCGGAGAAGAAAGAGGAAAAGGGGGGGGGGGGGGGGGTGCTTTCCTTAACGCCTATTGCGCCGAGGCACAATAGGCAGAACATCATGTTTGTCGGCGCCAAGCTTAAGTTTGACATGTGGCCTATGGTAAAACTGAGGTGGTGCGGAGACAGAACGTGAGGTGCAAGTTTAGCCCTGCCTGGCATGTTCGCAGCTAGTATTTTTGTTTTCTTCTTTCCTTCCAAGTTCAGCAAACATTCATGGTAGTGTTTTTTTGTTTTTCATTTTGATTTTAATTAAAAGTAGGGGCAGATCCTTCGCGGAAAAATTGAATCGGTGTATTATTATACACTGATTTGGGGTTTCGCAGTGAATTCAGCGTGGACACACTTCCTATCATATTTTAAAGGGGCAACACGATGTATGCCTTTGTGACTTTTCTTTCTTTAAGCTTTTTATGAAATTGTATGAAACATTTTTATACATTCTTGATAATAAAAAAAAATAAAAAAATAATAAGAATAAAGTGCATGTCTGTGTGGTGTCGCAATGAGGGAGAAAAGGTGTGTGGGGTTGGTGGGAGTCGAAGAGGAGGGGGGAGGGGTGTCACTTCCCTTCCCGAGATTTCATGCATATTTCACTCCGGGCAGCCAGCACTTGGATGTACGGGCTTCCTCTGCCTTTTGGCTGCCTCCGTCTCTCGACTGTAGGGAAGTTTAGCCAATAAACCCCTTTGAAAGAAGAGGGAAATTTCCCTCCCTCTTCGTCCCGCCGCTCTGGCCACTCCCCCATCTCCCGAACACTTCCGGCACCCGTGGCGTTCCTTCTTATGGGCATGTAGTGACGTAATTTTTCCCCCCGCAACTTTGGAGCCGGAGCATCTCTTCCAATTCTTTTGTTTGGAACTTAAAAACAAATAAACTCGTCACCTCAAAAAAAAAAAAAAAAAAGTTTTGCGCACTGTTTATACGTTGCGCGAAGTTCTTGCAATATTTGTATGTCGGAGAAAAAGGCGATGCATTTGGCATTTGGAATGCGTACGTATTATTAATATTAATATCAAATCTAGAGTGCACCTATAATTCTTGACATAAAGGGGGAAATTAGTAATACTCTTCGACGAGTCGGACGTACATTTTTTCTATTAAAGGCTCTAAGCGACAAATCCAGATAGAGTTCATATAATAATCTAATAGACAGCTAGAGTTAATATAAAAATCCAGAGGTGAAAGTTTCACGCATTGCGGCCGCTTTGGAACGGCGGCGCATAGACGCGGACATCACGGTTGGACCCAGATCGCTGGCGGTTAAAAAAAATCGTCCACGAGGGGACTTTTCCGTATTGATGAGACGAAAAGTGCATTAATTTATCCAGTCAACGTCCCCGAAGATGTCCAACGAGACATGACTGTGTACGCAAAGAATCAGGAAAACATCACCTGTGGGTGAACATCACCCACAGGTGATGTTCACGGGAAAGTATAGGGGCTCCAGGTTTCTTACAGTGTACTATATACAAAAGAAGGTCATTTTTCTCTCGTCGGCCATCGGGACTTCACATTGCTTAATACTCGCGAGAGTGTTCGCAAGGATAGACCTAGATAGTTAGTATGTATACGATCTCTATAGATAGACCGAACCTGCACCCTTCTCCTTCCAGGTTGTGGATCTGGGCAGCGGCAAGGGCTACCTGTCCGGCAACCTCATCTCAGCGCACGCCATGACGGTCCTGGGCATCGAAAGCGCTGCGGGGAACAATCATCGAGCCGAGACCCGTTTCTCCAAGATCGAGCGGGCCTCGAGAACTAGACGAAACCCCAGCGCCGTTCGGAACGCGACAGTCGCGAGGCTTAGCGCCCAGGACCGGTCCACCGACGAAAGTGCCGAGTCGTGCTCCGACGAAGGCCCGACACCGCCGTCGGGAAACGGCGGCGGACGCTTCCGGACGTTAACCGCGCGAGTGGACGAAGACTTCGATCTGGGCGAGGCGCTGAAGAAAAGTTTCGAGGACGAGGGCATCGATGACGTCATTCTGTGCGGTCTGCATACGTGCGGTGACTTGGCGACGAGCGCGCTCAAACTTTTCGTCAGATGTCCGCGTGCAAAGGTTCTGTGCCTGGTCGGCTGTTGCTATCATCTCACCGAAGAAGAGTTCGTCACGCCGCAGAACGGTTGGCTGCTTCTCTGTCAATTTGCTCCGATCTTGAACGTCTTATGACAACTAACCCACTTTTATAGTAGATGGCGCAAGTTACCGCCAGATATGGTACAAGCACTAGCATACATACATCCACCCAGTAAATTTTTTTTTTTTTTTTTTCATAATCGAAAATGAAACAGTTATGGCACGTATTGAAGGGACTATTCGAAAACTGTTGTCTGACAGCTTGACAGCTTTGAAAAGCCGTAAAAGAGCCCACGGAGACACTTTTCCCAGTCCTTTGCAACTCAGTCATTTGAGTTTCTATTATTTTTTTCGCGACATCACGGAAATTGTCATGGGTCATCTTGCAAGGCTCGTGGTGTTAAAAAAGAGTCAAGATGAGGTATTTATTTGAGGATGTATGGCAGCAGTCGCCACTGCATGCAGAACCACTCGTTGCGACCAACAGGGAACGCAACCTTCCTTAAATTATTTCTTCGTTGATACTCTCAAACGAACGCACCAAATAATACAAGTTTTAAGTTTTTCTTTCTTTCAGGAGGGAAACAATTTGGATTTCCCATGTCCCGAGCGCTGCGGAAGCGAAAGTACGTTCTTGGGCGAAACGCCCGCATGTTGGCAGCTCAGTGTGCCGAGAGAAACAAGGAGGAAAAAAAGGTGAGGTTTTCTTTTGTCTGTACGTTTTTTCACGTTTGTGAAAGAGTGACTGGATTTCCAAACGGCCCCAGCTTCAAAAAAAGGTTTCAGGGATTTCATTTCGGTTGAGGGTTCGCACGGCCGTGCACGGTATTAGACTCCAATCTTAAATTCTCTCGAAACCCTCGGCCGAACAGGCCCAGACAAAGTTTGAAATAGGTACAAAGATGAGCACAGGTATAGACCGTTCCAATGATCGCCTTCTGTGGGCTGCCATCTTTGTCTACTGGGCTCTGGAACGCGTTCTTGCACAGTAACTCTCTTGCACGAAATACGATACGCCGAGCGTGCGTTCATAGCCCAGTGACTCAGCTTTTTTCGCCTGGGTGAAGCCAGGGAGATTGCGGTATTAGCCAATAAGAACACCGATGAACCGATCACGAATCAAGTTGTTACGTCGTACCAAGGACAGTTTTTAAAAAGCCCCTGAAAATATTTTTTTACAGTCTGGTTTTGACACGCCCGTCAAGAAATAAATTTTACACGAAAAAAAATGTTTAGAGCAATATTGACGGCGAAAGATTTATTTGAAATTCTGTGTGCAAAGTGTATGACGTCATGGAATGGTCAATCGCTCTTTCCACCTCAACGCGAAGGCGAAGCCGATCCACTTCTCTTCCACGCGCCCCAAAGGCCGAGAGAGAAAACAAGCGGAAAGGATGTGACTGCCGACTAAATTCCGTTTCGCGCCGTCAATATTGCTCTATTTTTTTTTTTGCGTAAAATTAATTTTTTTGACTTGCATGTCTCAATTAAACCGTTTAGAAAAAAAACTTTTTTGGGTGTTTTTTTTTTTTTTTTAAAGCGGTATTTCAACCTGCAACCCCCTTCCCCATCCGATCACGGCCCGACCAGCGGCATCAATGCCCGTCAGTTTACGTCATCTCATCTTGTTACATCACTGGTACGCGAACAGAGGGTCACATGGGCAATAATTTCAGTGTTCTGTGCACAACGCACAACACTGCCATCGCGATGTTGCTGCTATGTTGCTGACACGCAGAAATACAGAACCGCGTTGATTGCCGGTTGGCACTTGGCATCGGAAAACAGGATCGAACTCAGCACAGAAAGCACCCGGCAGCAAAACCTACCTGTCTTGGACGCAGTTTCCGCGGTTTCCATAACGTCGTCAACGTCGAAAGTACGTCGAAACATCATTCTGTAATCCGGAGGCGGCCATCTTAGCTTAGTGTACTTAATCGCGAAACACATGTACGACGAAACCGTCCGATCCGACGTGCGGACTGCCGGAATGACCTTGGGGGGAGAGGGTTTTCGTAGCATCGGAGAGCGTTGAAAACCCTCGCCTCCGACCGTCGTATTGCGCGGTCGGACGTCGGATCGGACGGTTTCGTCGTACATCTGTTTCGCGCTTTAGCGCTGCTGGTGCTGCTCCAGAAGTTCGCTGTTTCTAGCGTCTTCGTTTGCTCGTTTGATAAAATTATTGGTAAAAACGTCAATGCAACCGAAATGTTTTGCACGTTTGGTCCGGGAGAAGGAATTACAGGTGGCATTCACTGCCGTGAAGCTCAATCAACTCAACAACATTTATAAAACAACGCCCGCGACGTGCTCGAAAAGCGAAACCGAAAGTAGATGAGGCGGGAGGATGGAACCTTTCTCCCGTCTGCTTGGAGAAGGAGAAAATGTCTCGTTCCTCCTTTCTTCTCGTGTCCGCTTGGGGGCGCGTCAGTAGGAGGGAGGAAGACGCGCCGTTGCCACCTTTTTTCTCCTTTTTTTTTTTTCTTAGAGTGCACAAGTCCTCCGTTTCTTTAACTGCCAGCGACTGTGAACACTCGCAGTAGTGGAACTGCTGCGCCAAACTGCGCCAGAACGAATAACCTGCTACATGCTGCTCCAAAGGCTGTATTTGTGCACAATTTGCGCCACGCCTGCACCGGAAGAGAATTGTACCCGAAAGGGAAACTGAAAGTGTCTGGCACGTGACATTAATGGCGATGCCACTAAAAATTTAAAAAAAAGTTTTTTTTTATATATACTTAAATACTATGTGGCGAAAAGTAGGACTGGGCGAATATTCTAATTTTGTAATAGTAGTTTTAAATAATACGTTATTTGATATTTGCTCCCAAACGAACTGCGATGCCCGCGGAGCAGGTGTCGAAGTTCATTTGGGAGCCCCCTTGAGTGCGTTTCTCCTCGAGCAGAGATACACTGCGGAGAAGCAATATCCACGGAGCGGACACAGCGACCTCGCGACTTCAACACACCTTCAAACTAGTTGGTGCACATGCGCGACTAATGTATTTAAATAAGAAGAAAGAAAGAAAGGAAATTTAGTGATTGTTAACATTACATTGCAGTAAAATCTTCAAAATTTAACTGTGGCATTATGCAGGGATATATGTTAGGCAGTGATGTTCTAAATATATCTGTGCTCATCATTTGTGTGTGTGTGTTTTAATTCAGAATCGAAGAACATATCTTTTATACAGGAATAACTATAAATGCTCTCAATTAGATATGGCTGGGCTGCTTCTCTATATGTTTAATTTTATGTCAAAGCTGTCATTTACTTGCCATCCCAATATAGGTACTGGTCATTCTGAGGCTACAGTCTATAAAAATAGCTTGATTAAATTTAACAGAGCTCATGAGTGGGCAGTCAGGGACAGCCTTTGTGAGTCCAGCTGGATTTTTTGTTAAAGCATTGTGTAACGGTAGTAAAAGGCGTGGAGAAAGGCGCAAGAACCCTTCAATGTTCATTTAAAAAAATATTCGGCCAAAAGCACGATTGACTCTGAATTTGCTTCGAACCCAAAATGCATTATTTGCGCATGCCTAACGAAGAGTTATCGGCTTTTGTACGAACGGTGCTTACATCGATCGCAATGAATAGCTAGCGCTATTCACTGTGAACGGTTAGAGTAGCTATGTGGTCCGCTTAGCTGCTCTAAGGAACAGCAGCAGCTTGAATACGAGCGAGGGCAGTGTGAGACACATTCAACACAAAAGTGTCCGTTTAATGTCCAACTCTCGGCAATGACGTCACCGTGATACCCTCTACAATGTAGCCAAAAACAGATTTTTACGTCAAACACAGATTGAAGACGCCATCAGTATCTCCTAATAGGTTAATTGAGACATCTACGTAATTGCCGGCGTATGAGTGTTGAATAAATAATAAATATCTGTACAGGCCAGGTCTTCTGTAGGCAGAACACTTTAGTTTCCCAACGCTCCAACAAATGCAGCTTTTTATCGACGGGCTAACTTTCGCGGAGATTGTATATAAAACTTTCTGACATGAAAGCTCAAAATTGTCTGCTCCCAAAGTGGGAGTCTTTGCTCCAAAACCCGTTTTTCCCTGTTACAAGAGCTGCTCCAAATCACCACCACTTGTTCGAGTCCCCTCCTCGATAAAATTTCGACGACAATAGAGAGTTTCCGTAGACGCTGATCCTCAACGTTCTTCACAATCCGCTGTGATATCCGGGACTCTGCGGGCGAGGCTCGCGCGGCGCATGCGCAGTAGTGGCGTCTTCGTACCGGAGAGCGTAGCGGAGCAGGAAAAACGGTCTGCGAAAACTCCCTAATAACTCCTGCCTATTAGGGAGTTTTAGTAGACCGTTCCGATACCTCCAGAATAGGGAGTTTTCGTAGACGATTTTTGCCGTCCCGCAACGCTCTTTGCGACCGGCTTCGATACCGGCGCGCATGCGCAGTATTGGCTTCTTCGGTGCGGAGGGCTTAGAGGAGGGAACAACGCGGTTTACGAAAAGTGCCTTTTGGGGATTTTTAGCAAACCATTATCGTGTTCCGCGTACCACACCTCTGGAGTCTCTGAAGCATGCTTTTATAAGCTCGCGCTCCGCGGTCACGGTATCGCCCGGGCGCGTGCTTAAAAGCATGCTACGAAGGTTCCGGTAGTGCAGTGCGCGGAACACGGTAACGGTTTGTAAAAAATCCCTCATTATACCCGATGACGAAACGAACCATCGGGTATCCTTATCGGAGCGATCTACTAAAACTCCCTATTATATTTCTTGTAGCCTTTGCGTACGAATAAGGGTCTTTCCCGATTGTGCGCCATCACCGATTTCTTGTCCCCTGACAAGAGCAAACTTAACGTCGTAGTAAGATCGAAGGCTCACGTGAGCTGATTCACGTCTTACTGGGCATGATGACGCAAGCAAGAACGACCGTCTGCTCTCCTTTCAGGTTCTCCCAAACTCGCTCTTCTATCGCGCCCTCTTGCAACTGGTACTCAGCGAGAAGCTGGGCGACGAAGCAGCGTCCTTGGATCAGGTCAAGGTTGGAAAGCTGGGTTCAGCCTCTTCGAGCTTTACGGACTACGTCTGTAGGGCGCTGAACAAGCTGAAGCTGCGACACGTCGGGGTAGGTATACTGCGCCGGAGTTTGACTGCGCGTGCAACGAGGTGTTATCAAAGATAGAAAGCTCTCGCTGGAGGTGGAGCATCGGCTGGCTTCTTTAACCTGACGTCCGCGGTCGAAAGCGTCGCTGTGGTCGGCCAGCCACGATTGGCCGAATGCTGACTATGACGTCAGCAAAGGATTTTTATCGACGGAAATAAGAGGGATATAAGAACTTGAATTTTAACGGTGTTCGCAGTGTTGCTTTCAGAGCGCTATGATTTCAAGCTTCCACCATGCTAATTACAAACACCATCGAACTTGTTTTTCGCAAGGTAACGACGTCACGAAAGGGAACCATAGGAGGGCGCCACCAAAACATCTTGTCTAAAGTCCCCCGATAAAATTGACGCTTACAAGTACCGCCAAACATTGTTGTGGAAACGCGCAAGGCACGTGCCACGAGCGGGTGCTCCGAAGCCATTCGCTTTCCAGGGCTACCAGGGCCGCTCATTTCAGTGCTGCCCCGCCATTTGGTCCAGACATGGGTCTTGTGCTCTGTCGCATTTGGCGATACTTGCAAGATAAACGCTAGCACATCGAGCGGCTTTAATCTCGCCGCTAAGATGGTCGTGTCATCCAATGCTTACACCTAAGCAGAATTCGTTTCGTGTTCGTCAGCAGTAACGTATAATGTTCTACGGCCTTGTTTCTCGAAACGCGGGCCAAATCGCTCGTGCAGAAAGTATACGCATCGCACAGAATAAAGGTTGATGTCACATCTTGATTTCTTCCAAATGGCCTATTTAGAAAAACGTTCGGTAAAATTGAGTTTCTAATTAGTTCAGATTAAATAATTCTTGAATGAGTACTTTTTAAATTATGGTTTCAAATGGAAACTTTCTTGACATCATCAAAAACCATAAATACAAGTCACGCGCAAAATTATATGGAGTTACAAAAAAAAGGAAAAAAAAAAGGACACTCAAAGCACGAATACGCACCCCGATAGAGGTGCGTCTTTGTGCCAGCGGTCCTGCTCGTACCCGTGGCCCAGGGTGCGCACCCAGGGTGCGCAAATACCTCTCCACCTCCGTCGGACGAGATAAGGAAGTGTGTCGCGAGCCTGCGGAATGAAACGCTATGGTGTTTCAACGACAACACGTAAATAAGCTTTTATTCTTGGGTTCACTTCCGTCGTGCAAAGAGTCCTGCGCAACGTTGGTTGCGCGCCTTGGCCACGGGGGAGCAGGATCGCTGGCACGAAAGTAATGCTGCGCGTGCCATACATCCTCGTCACGTGGGCTGATCTAGCGGTTTTCGATAATGCCCAGAAGGTTTCTAATAGAAACCATAGATGTTTAAAGGTACCAATTAAGAAGTTAATTACTCGAAAGTAATTAAAAACCCAACTATACCAAATGTTGTGATAATCTTCCTAAATAGGCCTTTCGGCAATGAACCACGTCAAGCTTTCTCCTGTGTGATGCTCACTTTTTGTCAGACTTGTACGTAGTTCAACTACTCTACTCAAGTTACTGTAGTTTAATTACTTTTCTGAGTAGTTTAGTAACTTTCAATTACATTTTTATTTCGGTAATTAGTAGTTTACTTTAATTACTTTTTTGAGTAACTTCTACTCAAGTTACAAATTACTTTCGAATTTTAGTGGTTGTTTTGCTTATCAACAAACATTCCTGCACAAAGGAGATTAGATGTTCGAAGATCAGCTGATATTTGGAAAGAGGGGGAAGCATGTGGCGTAGGAAAAGGGGGGGAGGGGAAGAAAATTGTTTGTAGAGTCGGAAACTCTCCCAAAAGTTTCACAAGAACCCCCCCCCCCCCCCCCCCCTGCAACAACACTGCTACGAGGCGCGGGGAGCGAACAGACACGACGCAAGAGAGGCCGAGTAACTGCGGGACTTGCGCCGAAGACTGGCGTTCCTTTGTATCCCCAAGCTCAAGGAGACTCGACCCTTTTTAAGAAAGGGCTGGTCCCCGCTTCTCCCCAACGTAGAAACTCTCGCCCACTATAGGAGGTGCACACACTGCATCCTCACTCAAAGGAGGCAACGAAATGCAGCACCTGCTCTGAAACTCATCTTGTGCTCCCGTAGTTTGTGCTGTACTCGAAGAATCGCGTGCTCAAGGGCAACGCAAAGATTGCCTTTTTGCGTTGTCTTTCCTGCCGAAACTCAGACTTTGGGGATCCTCAAAGATTCATAGATCGTTCGACAAACCTGTAGTAATTCCCCCACCATTTTTATTAAAAAAAATAATACACAAGCAGTCTTGGGAAGTATTTTATGTACATGGTACTTAAAGTACTACTGTTTAGAAAAATTGTACTTCACTTGAAGTAATTTTTCGAAGCATGTACTTCGATTTTTCGAGGAATGTAAAGCTCCCAACCTCAATGTACATTGCTCAAATTTGAAAAAAAAAAAAAAATAATGGCGGTATTGTTGTGTGAAAACGCGCTCTTTCGAGACGCTATCTGGTCATTTCTATGAGTGAAGTAATGGCGGCTGTAAGACCGAAACGAATAAGTGCCTTATAAGTTGATTGTGTGAAATAGCTCATCAGCGAGAGTAAAACAACTACTCTGCGGCGATTTGACCTTATACTATATTTGCTTCCATTTCTGTAAAAACTGATGCGCCTCCGATTACCACTGGAGCAATGCATAGCACTTAAAAAAAAACAGTACAGGGAATGAAAGGGCATCATGAAAGATTGTGTTAAAAGTGCTTGTACTTTGCCGTGAAATATATTGTGTTTATATACGTTACTTCAAGTACATTGCACCCGGTGTACCTACCACTTTACTTGAAGTTCATAACCTCTCATTTACTTTGTACTTTACTTCAAGTCCTTTTCAGATGTACTTTATGCAACACTGTAAACAAGCAAACATTGTCTAAAAAATCAAGCTCAGACAGTGCTAAACCTCAAAGTACAAATGACACATTCGCAGTACATCACTGACCAAACAAACAAGAAAGTTAAAAACAATTAGGCACGCAGAAGCAGAACCAGTTATTAAAGCATTGCTGTTAGCAAAAAAAACAAGCCCATTCCTATTTGGCAAGCACAATTTTCCTAACGGATCAAAACCTCTCTACTTTCTTTTTACCATAAAAATCATATAAAAGTAACTTCAAAGTAACTTCAAAAGTAATTCGCTACTTTTTTGCGGTAATTAGTAATTCACTCAGTTCCTTTCTATTTGAGTAATTTCTACTCTACTCAAATTACTTTTGACGCCAATACTCAGTAACTTAACTTAATTACGTTTTTTGAGTAGCTTGTACATGTCTGCTTTTTGTGTGAGCGATCCTTGGCCCGCGTTTCTAGAAACGCCCTTTCCTAAATCGGCCTACAGTGAACCAGTATAGAACGTCAAGCTTTCTCCTGTGCGATGCGCACTTTTTGTGTGAGCGATCCTTGGCCCGCGTTTCAAGAAACGCCCTTTCCTAAATCGGCCTACAGTGAACCAGTATAGAACGTCAAGCTTTCTCCTGTGCGATGCGCACTTTTTGTGTGAGCGATCCTTGGCCCGCGTTTCAAGAAACGCCCTTTCCTAAATCGGCCTACAGTGAACCAGTATAGAACGTCAAGCTTTCTCCTGTGCGATGCGCACTTTTTGTGTGAGCGATCCTTGGCCCGCGTTTCTAGAAACGCCCTTTCCTAAATCGGCCTACAGTGAACCAGTATAGAACGTCAAGCTTTCTCCTGTGCGATGCGCACTTTTTGTGTGAGCGATCCTTGGCCCGCGTTTCAAGAAACGCCCTTTCCTAAATCGGCCTACAGTGAACCAGTATAGAACGTCAAGCTTTCTCCTGTGCGATGCGCACTTTTTGTGTGAGCGATCCTTGGCCCGCGTTTCTAGAAACGCCCTTTCCTAAATCGGCCTACAGTGAACCAGTATAGAACGTCAAGCTTTCTCCTGTGCGATGCGCACTTTTTGTGTGAGCGATCCTTGGCCCGCGTTTCTAGAAACGCCCTTTCCTAAATCGGCCTACAGTGAACCAGTATAGAACGTCAAGCTTTCTCCTGTGCGATGCGCACTTTTTGTGTGAGCGATCCTTGGCCCGCGTTTCAAGAAACGCCCTTTCCTAAATCGGCCTACAGTGAACCAGTATAGAACGTCAAGCTTTCTCCTGTGCGATGCGCACTTTTTGTGTGAGCGATCCTTGGCCCGCGTTTCTAGAAACGCCCTTTCCTAAATCGGCCTACAGTGAACCAGTATAGAACGTCAAGCTTTCTCCTGTGCGATGCGCACTTTTTGTGTGAGCGATCCTTGGCCCGCGTTTCTAGAAACGCCCTTTCCTAAATCGGCCTACAGTGAACCAGTATAGAACGTCAAGCTTTCTCCTGTGCGATGCGCACTTTTTGTGTGAGCGATCCTTGGCCCGCGTTTCAAGAAACGCCCTTTCCTAAATCGGCCTACAGTGAACCAGTATAGAACGTCAAGCTTTCTCCTGTGCGATGCGCACTTTTTGTGTGAGCGATCCTTGGCCCGCGTTTCTAGAAACGCCCTTTCCTAAATCGGCCTACAGTGAACCAGTATAGAACGTCAAGCTTTCTCCTGTGCGATGCGCACTTTTTGTGTGAGCGATCCTTGGCCCGCGTTTCTAGAAACGCCCTTTCCTAAATCGGCCTACAGTGAACCAGTATAGAACGTCAAGCTTTCTCCTGTGCGATGCGCACTTTTTGTGTGAGCGATCCTTGGCCCGCGTTTCTAGAAACGCCCTTTCCTAAATCGGCCTACAGTGAACCAGTATAGAACGTCAAGCTTTCTCCTGTGCGATGCGCACTTTTTGTGTGAGCGATCCTTGGCCCGCGTTTCTAGAAACGCCCTTTCCTAAATCGGCCTACAGTGAACCAGTATAGAACGTCAAGCTTTCTCCTGTGCGATGCGCACTTTTTGTGTGAGCGATCCTTGGCCCGCGTTTCTAGAAACGCCCTTTCCTAAATCGGCCTACAGTGAACCAGTATAGAACGTCAAGCTTTCTCCTGTG